CCTTTTTTTTTTTAAATCCCTTGGTTGGCCAAAAAAAAAGGCTTGCCTTTTTGTAAGTATTTGAAATTAAAAACTTATATTCATTGTATAAAAATTGAAATATAAAATTTTTTTTATTTATTTATTTTTAATACTGTAAATTTTGTACCTACAAAATGGCTTTTTATAATATTTCAATTTTCATTTTATTTAAATATTTAATTCTATATATCAAAACTCAAAAGAGGCTTCAAAGTCAAAACCTAATTAGTTTGGAGGAGAACAAAAAGATGCTTGGATTATTAAATTTCAAATCAGATTTGGTAACATTTTAATAGATTTTGACAACATTGAATTTGTAAATAACAAATATTTTTGTTACAATTCTTTATTTGAGATTTAATAATTTTAATTTTTTATGGGATTTTCCTTGGTTTCGACAGATAAAAAAATTGAAGATATGATGACAGTTCCATGAGTAAAAGATGTTTAATATCTTTTAAATAAAGTAAATGATTCAATTCTTGTAAATAAAAAAAATACCCTATTTGAATTTAACTATGCGTAAATATGAATTAATGGGTACTACTAGATATTATATTGTGAAAAAAAGAGAGAAAGAAATGTAGGCTTTGTAATAATCATTTTCTTTTAATTTTTGAGTTATTAATGGGAAAGCAAAGTTAACAGGGAATTTTCAAGTAACGTTATAAGAATTTTCTCCTCTGTATTCTAAATTACTCCATGCATGTGTTTGCTCTCGGGATTTAGTAACTTCAATGATTACTTCATCAACAATTTAATCTTATTAACTTAGTTACGTTTCCTTGTCAAAGTACTCATATAGATGAATGCCAATGAAATAATAAATAATTAAATATTAACTTAAATTTTATGCTAAAATAGAGATTATGTCAGTAATTTTACTAAATAAAGTTGTTTGAATTACAGAAGGGACGAAAATTTGAAAGGAACCAAAAAAAAAAAGTCACTAAATTGAGCAATACTTTCTTTAACAGGCAGGGCTGGCAAAAGTGCTTGGACTTGCGGGGCAGACCAATGTTCAAGTAAGTGAGCTCTCTTAAGAATTCCTTCTAATGCTTCCATGAACTCATTTTTTATTTCTTTCAAGGTATTTTATTTTTTAATCTGGAAAACCATTTCCAGGGTGAAGATCAAAAGAAACTGGATGTTCTTTCAAATGAAGTGTTTGTGAAGGCCTTAGTTAGCAGTGGACGTACTGTGAGTATAATAACATCCAACATTTCTCTCTTCTCATTTCTCAATATCCTGTGTTCTTTTCTCTCACCTAACCAGACATGTTACTCTGTACATTGTACGAAATATGAGAAATAAAACATACTCTTCATGATTTGTATTCTGAAGATATGTTGAAAAGGAGATACATTCATATTGAAAATTTATTAGATATAATCCTAAATTATAATCTAGCATTTATACCATATATAATCAATTGAAATATAATTTGCTGCCTCATCACTTGTCAGTGCATTCTTGTTTCTGAAGAGAATGAAGATCCTATATTCGTGGAGCCATCACAACGGGGAAAGTAAGTTCAAATACTCTTTGAAACTCATCCATTGAACAATTCCATGATATTTATGTGAGACCCTTTTGATTTTGACAGATACATTGTTGTATTTGACCCTTTGGATGGATCTTCCAACATTGACTGTGGTGTTTCCATAGGAACTGTACGTATGAATTTCTCATCCTCAAAATAACTAATCAATTTGAAAAACTATTGTAACAAATTATTCTGATAAATAATACTTCTCTTGTTGCATTTAGATCTTTGGCATTTATCTGGTGAAGGATCAGAATAATCCAACTCTTGATGATATTTTGCAATCTGGTAACAGCATATTAGCAGCTGGTTACTGCATGTATGGAAGCTCTTGTACGGTAAAACAAACATCCGTTTTCTCAATTATGGATTATTTTCATTGTTCCATTGAAAGATTTCAGTTTTCTACTTTTCCTGTGATGAACATGTAATGTTGATTCAATAAGTTTTGGAATTGTAGTTTGTGCTAAGCACAGGAAATGGAGTAAATGGCTTCACACTTGATCCTTGCCTTGGGGAATTCATATTGACACACCCAAATATCAAGGTATTGAAGTGGACCACAAATTGGTATATCAAATTAATAGCTATGCTTTTAAGTGTGAACAGTATGCTAAACTATATATTCTTAACAGATACCGAAGAAAGGAAAAGTTTATTCCGTGAATGAGGGAAATGCTAAAAATTGGGACGAACCAACTGCCAAGTAAGTTTTAGGGATTTTCTCAATTGTCTATAGAACATATCAGATGAAGATTAAGGTAATTAAGAATTAAGATTGTCTAGCATCACTTGGCAAAAAACAAAAAAAGATTGTCTAGCATCACACATAGTATGGACTGTTTTCTGGGTTACTGTAAGTGGATTAAATTTTAAATCTTATCTTTAATAGCTAACTTCTGAGGGACGATTCTTACCCCTTTGAGATGACCACCAATTTGGACTAGAGCTGATTGCTTGGGCTCAAAAAATGGTAAATTAAGAGAGGATTCTGGCTAGCAAGAAAACCGAGTAAAATGTCCCAAAGTATAGACATTAAGATAATGGCTCTCAAAGAGAAGCCAGTTGATGGAGGACAATGTAGTGTAAGTTACCTAGTTCCGCATTGAGTAATATGACCTACTTTATATGGTGCTCAAGCATAATTACTTTCTTACTTTCAGTATCTAACTTTTGAGAGAGGTTCTCTACTTTATTACCTAGTCCCATCAAATATTTCTCTCGCCTCTTTTGAGGTGTTAGAATCTATATTTCAGAGTTGCCATTGAACCTTACACCTTCTTGCCGCGAGGTCTACTTTTTATGCTATTAGATTTCCCATACCTCAATCTAATGCTGTGCAGTTTTTACCAAAGATTGGCTCATACTTCCAAGATTACTTCCATAGTTCAAACCAGTTGTGGTGTGAGGGAATAATGTTTTGACGGATATTTCTGAGGCTATCGCAATTTTGCATTTTCAGATATGTACAAAACTGCAAGTATCCTCAAGATGGTTCACCATCAAAGTCTCTTAGGTACATTGGAAGGTATTTGGTCTCCTCAACATACATGATACAATTTCTTGATTTTCTTCGAAATTATTTTCATTGATGCTAACAAAGATGAGTTATGCAGCATGGTTGCTGATATCCACCGGACACTGCTTTATGGTGGTATCTTCATGTACCCTGCTGATAAGAAAAGCCCAAGTGGAAAACTCCGGTATGACACTTTTTGTTTCGTCCTAACCGTATGAACCCATCATGAATCTACCTTTTGACATTGATCCCGCCCTCCATTTGGTTATAGGAACAAAAGAATCCGTCTATCATCTCTACATGATTCTATTATGTTTTTGTAATAATTGTTCAACACAGCAACAAGTTTTATTCCATTAAATGAGGTTGGCTATATAAACAGACATCGTTGCATGATCTCCGAAGGAGAAGGAACATAACAGAGTGCATTATATTGCAGTTTTCTTTCTGCTGGCGTTATTAGTGGTTGTGTTTCATGGATATATGAGTGGCTTATGAGGACTGTCTTGTACTTTTGTGATTAATAGGATTCTGTATGAAGTGTTTCCCATGTCATACTTGATGGAGCAAGCAGGAGGTCAAGCTTTTACAGGAAAACAAAGGGTATACAAGACATTTCTCTCTCTCTTCTTTGGGGTTCTGTTAGTTTTCTTAACTTCATAAATTATTATTTGACAAGAATATCTTATAAGAAAAAAACCTGACTTTTTATTCATAAGCATATTGATTCTTATGATTTGAAATAGAATGTGTAACGATGCAATTAAAACTGCAGGCACTTGACTTGGTTCCAGAAAAAGTACACGATCGATCTCCAATATTCTTAGGAAGTTACGATGATGTTGAGCAAATCAAAGCTCTCTATGCAGCAGCAGCAGAAGCAGAAGCATCAAATGGACCAACGGAAAATGATATTGCTTAGTAAATCTCTGAGCATTAATCGTACAAAAAGAACAACAGAAATTGTCAAGTCCCATTTGATAAATTCATTTATGTAGATTGTTTCCCCCTACTTTTAAAAGCCAATATATAAGCTTGTGTTGTTGTGAAGGACAGCACAGATCTCAATATAGTCCCATGCATGGACAATAAATCAATATATTAACTAGGAATCATTTTTAGTCTTAATTTTCTTGATAAACCCAAGAAGATAATTTAAATAGGATGTGGTGTTCATCGTAAGATTTTCTTTTTTTCAAAGAAGTAAATGTGAGGACATGGACACATGTATTGTAATTAAAAGTTTTTAATTTATAGTGATTTAAATAGTTAAAAAGATTAATCCCAAAATTCAAGGGTGGAAAGCAATGTTACACTTTAAGGTGTGCTGGCATGAAGTAGGGTCATATTTGGTAAGATGGAGTCTTTTTTGAAGTAAATTGAAGGGAGAGGGAGAGAGATATCCATGGTTAGATGATTTTGTTAAAAATATGTTTTTTAGGAGAAAGGAGTTATGATTTTTCTTGCAATAAAGGTTTAGTATAAAATAATTAAGAATGGTCAAATGACATGAATACTCCTTTTTAAAACGCTCAAGTCTAGTTTTCAAAATCATGGGTATTATATGGATAAAAAAACATTTTTAAAAATTAAATAGTAAAACGTTTTATCAAGAAGGGACAAAATAATTAAAACGTTTTTTGAAAAATTGGAGGTAAAAACATAAAATAAAATCATTAGACATATATAGTTCATTTTATACACATGCCAAACCCAACAACTAATCTAGTGTGATGGGTTGCAGTGTTTTTTTTTTTTTTTCCCAGTAATACGGTAGATATTAGATAGTGGAGCAACACAAAACCTATTAATCTAATATTCTTAATCGGAAATTAGCTTACTAAAAAGATTTTAAAGATAGCATCATTCCCACAATCCCACGTTAATGTTATTTCCTTCCCCCGTTTCTTCTGATCAATGGGAACCATTTTCCTTCACTCCTTCCCCTGATTTCTCCTCTTTCTCAGCAGACAAATCCTTCTGTATGGTTCCTTCATCTTTCTCCTTCTTCTCTGTCTTTGCCATTTCAAGAGCTTCAATCAACCTCTTCAAACAAATCTCTTCATCTTCCTCCATTGACTTCGGCATCAGATTCTCAGCAACATCGGCAGGTGTCATCTCCGTCTCCTTCAGCAATCCCTCAATTCTCGAGAACAAGTGGTGGCTCTCAATATTCAAGTAATTCTTAGCCAGCACCTTGAAGGCTTCATAGCAACAGTACGATAACTCAATATGCTTATCCATTCGTCCTCTTCTGATCAAAGCAGGATCCAGTTTGTCCACAAAATTAGTTGTGAACACAATGATCCTCTCTCCTCCACAAGACGACCAAACTCCATCAATGAAATTCAACAAACCAGACAGAGTCACCTTACTGTTCTTCTCTTCTTCTTCATATCTCTTCAAAAGGTCTTCTTTGGATTTCTTGTCCTCCTCCTCGTCCTTAGTTCCTTTTGCATTCTTGTTCATCTTTTTCCTTTGCCCAGTGAGATTAAGAGAGCAATCAATATCTTCAATCACTATTATTGATTTACCGTGAGTTTGGATCAAGAGCTTCCTGAGCTCTGTGTTGTTCTTCACCGCCGTCAACTCCAGATCGTAGATATCGTAGTTCAAGAAATTGGCCATGGCGGCGATCATGGTGGACTTACCGGTCCCAGGAGGACCATAGAGCAAATAGCCACGTTTCCAAGGCTTACCGATTTTCGCATAATAGTTCTTACCATTTTTGAACCTAACAAGATCCTTTACAATCTCCTCCTTCTTCTTGGGATGTAAAGCCAGAGTATCAAAACTCGCAGGGTGCTCGAAAACAACACGGCTCCAGTTGTATGTGCTCAATCCATTGCTCGGATTGTTCGTAAGAAGCTTGATTTGCCTGTTTCTGGATGCAATGGCCTTCCCTTCATCCAACACATGCCTCAGATACTGTCTCGTGATCAGATCTCGATGACATTTGTGAAATTTCAGAGTGAATAACCTCTCACCGGAAGAAACAGGGTAGTGTGAGTACGTGGTCGTTATGGGACCGGTTTTGATGGAAAGCCACCAGATCTTAACGCCATGAAACTCGTCGGAGACCTCTTCGTTGTCGTCCATGCTAAGAACCAGAGGGTTTTGGCCATTTTTGACTAGCTCGGCTTTGAGTCTGCTGGCTCGCTGGGAAAAGTTATGACTGAGATAGGTTTGGACGGCAGAGAAAGCTTCGCTGCACTTGAGGCGATCGCCTGAGTATTCAGAGAAGGAGATTCGGACGTAAGGAGAGAAAAGGGAGGTGTGTCTATGGATGTAAGCTAGAACATAGTCACGAAGAAGACAAAGAGGAGGGAATTTTTCAATCATGGCGTACAGAAACATGAGGGTGGCCATGGCTGAACCTAGTTGAGCCCATAACGTCGCCATTTCCATCTTCTTTTGCTTCAGAAACTGAACCAGTGAATAATTGTGTGTTCTTGTGATGGATCACTACTTCTCAGAGTCACTTTGTGATGGGTATAATGCTATTTAATTGTTTCTACGTGAAGGAATCAGAATGATCAGATCATGCAAAAGAGATGAACATTGTTAAATTGGAATGAGCATGCTTTTGTTATGCGGAATCACTGAACTGTGCATGAGAAATACATGAGTGAAAAGTGAAGAAAACAAAACACAAACACATAATGAATTTCTGTTTCCATTTGCTGATCTGGAATTTTAGACGGATTTGATTATGGACATTCCATTTGAACTATAAAATTTCAACAATGAAACAGCAGATATACAAAAAAAAATTCTGCTAGTAACATCTTAATGCCTCTCTCTCCCAAAAACAAAACTATTTGCCTCAACAGCATGTGGAAGAGAAGCAATATATTTGTATGTTTTTATTATGCTATTTCAATATAATACTACATCATATAAAATTTTTTGTCAACATTATATATCACATAAATTAAACATCATTAATATATATCAATTTTACAAAAAGTCAAATTAATTATAGGATATATCCTATCCATATGCGGTATGCGTGCTTATTTTTGATAGGCTCCGTGTAACGTGTGAAACCCAGAGGCACTTAACAATATGTTATAACATGTTAAGATTATTTAATAACATTAAGACTTTGAGGTAAAAAAAAAAAGACTATTTAAAAATGTTCAGCATGGATAAATTTTACAAACAATTTTTTATGAATATTAAAATAAAAAGTTGAGATGCATCTACCATCTTGTAAGTTGTCTCTATCAATTTAAAGTACTTTGTAGGTTATTCAACATTATAAAATGGAAAATTTCAATTAAAGACCACGGTAGCCAATTAATTTTAAGGAGCCCCAAAACAATCTGAAATGTCACTGCAGGACTAAAGGAGCAAATTGAAATTAATTTAAGAATAAAAGAGACGTTGTTGCCTCTCAAAACTATGACCCTGATATTAGGTCAAGCTCTTTCTCCTCTCACTCTCTTAAACCTGTCAACACCTCAAGCTTTTCCCTCTCTCACTCTCTGAAAAATCCTTAGCATACATTGAAAGAGATCCTTCGCTGTCATTGCCGTTCTAGTAAGGAGAGTTTTCGCTGCCTGCAATTTTTTGGTAACAAGAGCTTTCACTATCTCTATGACCTCTTTCACTGCCTTTTCAATTCAAAAATTTCTGCATAAAATACTGTTAAATCCTTCTCCATTTCTTCTATTGTAAATTTTATGGGTCTAGTTTAGGCTGTCGTTGTGTTCTGAACCAGTGAGAAATTTTTTTACTACTCAGATTTGAGATAAAATTATTCAGTACGTTGAGTTCAGATCCACACTGTTGAGTGTTGAGGGTGAGCCTTTCAATTCCTATTATGGATTGTATTGTGAATTTGCAAATTCTACTGGTCTACTGAAATGGTGATTTGGTGTTGTGAAAACTTGCATTTCTCTTGTAAATTCGCAAATATCTATTATAAACATATGATGTGTTTAATTATTAAAAATTTATTAAAATTGATACTTGAATGATGTGCAGCAACATATTATATAAGGCCAACAGTAGTGGAATTAAATGTTTATGAGTTTGTTCATTATTTTGGGTTTTTATTGTTGCATCATGTGCAAATGTATTGATGGTTCTTATCCTTATGCTATAGGAACAACACACTGTACTAAAGTCTGAGTTGTTATGATGGTTCATTACTCATAATTGCAAAATTATTTCAATGGATAAAGATACAACTGAAAAGAAAGCGATGGCACATCAATTATTTTATTTCTATCCAAGATATAATGTAAACTACTTTTGAATGTGTTTAAATTTGTGTATAGAGAATTTGTACAATTTTAGTTTCAAGGAATATGTATTATGAGTATGTTTTATGTCAATTAATTCTAATCTTCTGCCTATCCCCACCAGTTTACAAGTATATGATATACTATTGATGAAGGATATTAGGGAACTTGCAAGATAGATACATAGATTACCAATAACAACACGTCCATTCGCAAGTGGAATTAGACAATTTGCAACATAAATACGTCTATTAACAATAATTCATAAGTCTAGGAGCAATGGTTCACAAGTGGAATTAGAAAATTTACAACACGGTTACGTCCATTAGCAACATAAATATGTCCACTTGCAAGTGGATTTGTTTCATTCATAAAATTGAATAAAATAATTCACAAGTCTAGGAACGATGGTTCACAAGTGGAATTAGGACATGTGCAATACAGATACACTCATTAACAACATAAATACATCTATTTGCAATTATATTTATCTCATTTATAAAGTTGAATAGAACAATTCACGAGTTTGGGAGCGACAGTTCACAAGTGGAATTAGAACATTTGCAACATGAATCTGCGCATGAACAACATAGATACGTCTTTTTGTAAGTGGATTTATCTCATTCATAAAATTGAACAGAATAATTCACAAGCTTAGGAGTGACAATTCACAAATAGAATCAGGACGTTTGCAACACAGATCTGCCCATCGACTACATAAACACGCCCTTTTGCAAGTAGATTTATTTCATTTATAAAGTTAAACAAAACAATTCACAATTCTAGGAGTGATGGTTCATATGTGAAACTAGGATATTTGCAATATGTGAGAAAGGAAGGGTTCTACTTGGGTACATATAAGATATCTATGTAAGTCATCTTCATCCTAAAATTTTTTATTATTTAGCTTATTCTTTTATTTTCTGAGTTATGGCAGAATGAATATTTTTAGGGCTTGTTAGAATTTTAATTATTAAGGCTTCTAATTTAGTATTAGGATACTAATAGAGCTTATGGGGTTAGAATAGAAGCCTTATGACTTAGATTTTTAGTTGATGGTTGATTTGAGGCAATGTGAGTTAGAGATTGGTTGGGAAATTGTGATTTGTATTAATGATGATATTAATTTCGAAATTTATCTCTTAGTTGAGTTCACTTGAGGTTATATTGAGGATCCAATGCTTAAACTTTGAGGATTGTTGTTGAAATAGTAATATTGATGATTCATTGGAGAGACTTTAATTAGTGGAAGTTGGGTGTTTGGAGGAAATTGAGGAAAATATTCTAAGTTATTGATTCTAATGAGTGGGAAATGATTAATGGAAGAAGGGAATAGGATTTTAATAATGATTGAAGGCATAGTTGATATATGGTTATTTTTCTAAGAGTTAAAGTAAGCACTTTTTGGAGATTGTTAGATGATTTGAAGGAAATATTCTTATTAATGATGTGAATGAGAGAGATAGAGTTGGGAAGTATTAGGAATTGTCACTTGGAGGAATAGATGAATTATTATTTTTCTAAAGATAAATTTTTAGATAAGCCAATTATGGGGATTTAGTTAATAAACTATTTTAATGCTATATTAATTAGTCTTTTTATATTAATATATGTTTATCAATTTATTATTGTAGAGTGAGCTTGGTTTGGGCTCTTGGGTCTTGAATCCTCCTATTTTTAGTTCTTGTGTCAAGAACTTAAGGTAACCACTTTCTAATTTACCTTGTATGCTTGTTGATGTGATTATAAGCATGTGTTGATATTATAAATGTTCTCAATATGTGTTATGGTGGTTTTTGTATGAAAAGTAATTTATATATCTATATCAAGATTTATGTTTTGATAAATTTATTAGTTAAGTGGGCATGAATTATTTCATCTTATGAATATCTTGTTGATGTTGAACAAACTTGATTATTGAATATGAGAATACTTTATGGATATGAAATTGTGTGGAATTGGATGGTTGGATTGAGCTGTGTTGGTTGTGCTGAAATGTAGTTGTGGAAGGTCTGATTATTTATACCACGTGGTATAGCCGCCACTTGGCGCCCAGTGGTTGGCATTAACATTCTTAGGGCCCTCGGTATCACCCTTCCTTTGGCCGGGTCAAGGGTCAGCCCAAGGGACATGACACCTTTCCATATTCCAAGGAAAGGGAACCTATGGTCCGATATGAGCTCTGTAACTTTTGGCCGAGTTACACCTCATTATTGGAGAGCTTGGTGCAGTCTTGTAAAAGAGATGAATCCTGTTATGTGTGAATAGCCCATGGGTTCTGTCAGAGGTTACAAGGAGGTTATAAGGATGGTTGATGAAGTTCTATGCATGCAAGTTACTTTCTGAATTATTATATATTGTTTTCTGTAAAGATGTTTAACTTATATATTATTAGAAGTTGTACTTTGCCCGCTTAGCTATCTTGTAATCACTCCCTGGATACTTGTTGAATTGGAATTGTGGTTACTGGGTCAATTTGACTCACCCCGTGGTTATTTAACATTTTTCAGGCGAGGGTTCAGGTATTGGTCCCAAGGGGAAGGTGTCTGAGGCTTGAGTTTTCCTTTCCACTCAGTATAGCCTCTATTTTGATATACATGATTTGACTGATGTATATTGCCAAACTTTAGGGCCTTTTTGTTTTAGTTAACATTATCATAACCTTTCCGCTGCATTCTAGACTTGTACTATTGGGCGGAGCCCTTTTTGGACACATGTGATTGTTATTTTGATTGCACTTGATAATGGGCAGCAATGGTAGTTGTTTTGGTGGACTTCAAATGCCCTAGCCCATTTACAATTGGTCTTAATTGTATTTGAGATTTTAGAGTATTGCTGATGGATTTGATATATACATGAAAAATCAAATGTTGATCCTTTCTTATTTGATTAACTATCTTTACTATTCTGGAACAGTAACTATTACTCTGTTAAAGATTTGGATTGTTGTTGACTATGGTAGATTTCTATTTGATTAGGTTTGTCCTTCCTACCATGGTTAACCTTTTAAAGCAATTATCATTTTGAAAATGTTTATTTACCATGAATTACGGGGTTGTTACACAATACGGATGCGCCCATTAACAACGTAAATATATCCATTTGTAAGAGGATTAATTTGTACTACATTTACATAGTTGCCACCCAATTTCAGTG